TGCACCTCCCCTGCTCCTTTCCAGCAGCACAGTGACGCTAAGGCAGGAGTCTTAGAGTGTCACAGGAATGTTTGTGCCAGCAGAATGAGGCGCACTCAAGTTACAGCACTTTCCAAAATGAAGCCAGTACATTTGGTGAATCCTTTCCAAGGAGGCTGATCAGATTCCTTGAGTTAAGATCAAATGAATGTTGTGGATGGTCCAGTGAAACGTGTTGACAAATAATACTGCACTCTCGTGCATTGCATTTACTGTGAATTTAAAAAAGAAACCCATTTGTATGAAATAAAAATAGATTTCACATGCATTTCGTTTTTCATCTGAGAGCTGAATATTGTAGGACAATAAGTTGATGGCCTAGTCTATGTGAGACAGCCAGCCAGTTAATGATGAGACTGGCCCAGAACTAAAATGACTCAGGGCAGCTGTGCAGCTCAAGTAACTGATACTGAAAAATGACTGAGAACTAAACTCCAGTAGGTCACAAAAAGATTAAAAGCAAAGCAATGTCTTTTTCCACCACAACCCAGGTCATTATAGAGTATGATCATAGCCTCCCATAGCATTGTCTAGCAGAACTAGCACCAATCCCCCCTCAGTACATCTTGAGTGATGTAGGTTTCTAAGGAACAAGCTGCATCTACATAAGTATCTAATGTTTTAGAACATCAGCCTTGTTTGCCTGAATACTATCGTTCCTTGTGGAGTTCTACTACGTGATAGTCCATAGCGATAAAGAAATTTCTTTCCTTCTCACTGCTCCTGTCTTCTTCAGCAAAAGAGAATTCAGCTCCTAGATGTATTTTTTTGTCTTCTAAACTCAAAGAAGCAGAGTTGGTCTGGAAGGTCCCATACCTTTCCAGACCACTGGATCACAGGTATCCTTCTCTAGGAATGGTCCAAATACTTCAACTCCCTGCCATTTGCCTGTCTGCATCTTTTAACTTCCGAAAAGCAGCACAGGCTCTGGAGAACTAGGCAGACAGACATTGAAAATGAGCAGTCAGAAAACACAGCGTTTCACTCAAGCCAGTAACAAGACAAGTTCTGGCTGCTCGATCACACCTCTGGCAAAGTTGGCAAGACTCTCCATCCTAATTTTATGGTTTCATGTGAAAACATATCACTTCATGGGTGAAGTGATAAAAACCCAAACTTAACAGGAAGTTTGGGGAAGGAGGCTGTCAGAAAAACACTTGGCATCCGCAAATTCCTGAACACATAATGGGATATCTACATGTCTGAAACAAGGAGAATTCCACTCAGGCCAGCACTGCACACTAAGCACTCACTGAAGAGTTATGTTAGTGTACCTTGAACAGTACAGATTGATGGTACTTGAAGAAAAACTATGTTTGCATAGCCAGAGAAGTGCAGACTCTCGTTGTTTAGGCAGGCAAGTACAAATGGGCATTGTTAATGCTTCCCTTCTGCTACGTTTGATGTCTTGCAGTTTCATGTCCTGCACAAGTGCTGACACCATGTACAGCTTTTCTTGACAGCCAAATAAAAAATAACCAGTTCCCCACCCCGAAAAAGAAAACCCACAGGGAACTTAAGTGTGATAATAAAAATGAGTAGCAGCAAACACTGTCTGAACTGTCAGGTTATAAACAATGCTCACGAAACCTTCATGGTCAGGATCAATAAAATGAAAGGCCATCGCTCTTGAGAGCCTGGAGCCATTAGAAATATAAAAAGCTTTCTGTCTCTGAGCATTTATGTCTAGATTTCATGTTCCACTGCTTCTTCCATGGCCTTATAGACTAAACAAGCAAGTTCACTTCTACTTCCAGTGCTGCAACAGTGAAACCAAGCCATAGGTTGCCTGGTAAGGCATTCCATGACCTTGAAACATATTTTGTAGAGCCAGGTGACTACTGCACATAAATGTCCAAGATGATCAAGATTTAGGACTTAAGTTTTCCTATTACATATATGCCTTTTCCATTTGAGAGGATTTCCAATGTTTCCAAACTTTTATGCAAATTAGATAACTGAGTGTACTCATCTCTATGATCTTTGGATATATAAAACAAACTAGCTTTGTTTTTCTATAATAGTAGAACATTTCACTTCAGTTTCATTGCTGCAAGCCATGTCTAAAAAAGTAAAAGTGATCTCTTAGCACAGTCATTTTCCTGGTAACCAAGTCCAAGGAGATTTTGCCTTTCTCCTGTTTTGTTCCTATTTGGTTGAAAATTACCATTATTATACTATTATATATTACTATTACATACCATTATATATTACTATTTATAGCAAAAGCATCATTTGTGAAAGTTCTGACTTGCTAACAAAGAATCTGTTTAACCTATTTGTGCTTAACAGTATTTCATATCACTTTATGCCGTTTTTCTCCTTTTCAAAACGAACCTTAACTCACCTACATCTATTAATCTACACAAGCGTATTTCGGTCTGTGGAACACTCCATTACTGCTTGCTTTGGCTCTTCATTAACCACATAAGTTGGTTATCAGAATCATATACTACTGTTTTGGAATCAGAGACAAGGCAAGCCTTAAAAATAGAAAAGAAACAATAGTGCAATAAAGCAATAAATAATGATACTTCCTCCAGAATTATGTGAACAAAAAACAATGTATACCACAATAAATAAAGTTTTGGCAGTCTGAAAATACTTTAAGAAAAATTAACAATTCCATCAATCAGTAAACAATTAAAAAAATAAATAAGCTGTCCTCCTAGATGCTTTTCTTTTTTTTTTTTTAATGATGTGGCCACTAGAATTGCTGGTGTTGTAATTTAAAGGTTAGCAAGTACAAAAGCACAACTATTATTCACATGAAATATCCCTGCCAACACTTGATCAAAATTACTGTTTTAAGTAAGCGACTTGCATCTGTGACATGTATCAGTATAATCTATTTTTGTTAGTTACAGATTTGGGAACCCTTCTTCTGGGTAGGAGAGGTGATGGTTTGTAGTTTTACATGCCAGGCCACAGAGACAGTCACTGGTCCACTTTTCAGGTCCAATATTCAGGAAAATTAACTCAAAATGCACAATAAGCCAAAGCACAATAAGAAAAGTTTTCTCGCACATATATAGAAACACAAGGATCCAATACAAAGCAGACAGAAGTTCTAAAATAAATTATCATAGAATCACAGAATGATTAGGGTTGGAAGGGACCCCAAAGATCATCTAGTTCCAACCCCACTGCCATGGGCAGGGACACCCTCCACTACACCAGGTTGCCCAAAGCCTCATCCAACCTGGCCTTCAACACTTCCAGGGATGGAGCATCCACAGCTTCTCTGGGCAACCTGTTCCAGTGCCTCACCACCCTCAGAGTGAAGAATTTCTTCCTTATAGCTAATCTAAATCTCCCCTCTTTCAGAAATTATCAGAAAATATTTCCTTAACTTGCAAATACAAAATAATCCAGAGCAATCTAAATCTTGTTTTAAAAGATATCATATGTATATTCATACTGTCACTAGCAATCATTAGAATGGAATAAAAAGAAGCCAGAGTGGGCCACAGGATGAGAATTCAGCTACATGCATCAAGATAGTGCCCCATCTTCCCTCAACAACTTTGGAAAACCATTTTCTTCTGGCTTCTGATATAAAGCTTATTACAGTACATTTAGGATCAAGCTCCTGTTCTCTGTTTAATTTTGGTTGAAAATCTTGCCTAAGTACACTAGAGGCACACGGCACATGATATGAGATGGCAGAAATTATTCCATCCATCTCCCCACCTCCTTTGCATTCATTGGAACAGCTAGACCACACCATTTGAGACCACTGAGAAAATCTGGAACATCTGAAAATCTGAGGAGCTTTAATTTAAACTCTATTCCAGGAAACATATGTTATACATTTCCAGGAAATATATGTCTACCCAATGTTCTCACAGAAGCTAACAAATATGTTGCAGGTCTGTTTGCATCTTTCTACTTTGCGTACTTATTTTATAAATTATCTGGAACACCCGCTTCAAGATAAACTCGAGATTTACAAAGCCATCTGGGAAATTCAGACATACATTTTGTTTTAGAATTTGTTTGCTCTGTCTTGGAAATCTCAGCTAAAGATCTTTTTTTCCCCTTAGGTGTTAGTCTGTTCCTGTTACTAGTTAGCTCTACTGCACATCCATATATAAGATTTTCTGGTATATTCTCAGAAATTGTACTTCCTCATTACAACCTGCTTTCTGTACCAGTCTTTGCCTAGCCTATGTAAAAATTATCTTCTTCACAATACAATAAAAATAGCAGTTACTTCGCTTTATATAATTATGGAGCTTTAAATATTAGTGCAGCTATTACAGAAAATCTCCGTGCAAGGTTATCTAACTTGAGAACAAATTTCCTTGGAAGCAACATTAACAAGGAAGAGTTAAGATACCTGTTGTGTGGAGAGATTCTACTTTCTCAATGGCAAGACAACTTTTACCACATCTCTATGAGAAAGTCTTCTCTCTCCATGTTCTACTGACTTCCTTTCCTGCATTCAGACTTCACCTTTCTTATTCTGTCAGACGCAGAGAGGACACTTTCAAACTCACAGGTGCCAGACCATTAACAAAAATTCTCTGCCTGCTGTGATTATTCACCCTGTGAATGACAGGCTCCTCTCATGCATTCCTAACATGTTACAATGGTTGTTTCCAGCATAGTCGTTCATAAGTTAAACAAAACTGTGTGTTGTCCACACAGCAATAAGCAAAAGTAACATCACTGTTGGATTTATTTTTTAACAGAAGCCTGAATGGATATGGAATTACATCTGTATTCAATAGGCTAAATACAACACAGATGCACTCAACATATCAACCATACTGATTCCTGTAAGAATCCATGCTGATTTCCACAAGAATCAGAGCAGATTTTGACTTTTCATCTCATATCCATGCCATGAACACTTCAAACAAATCTAACAGGCAGAGATAAAACACATATCCCATAGTCACAAGTTTCACCGGATGCCCTTAGGAATGCAAAGACTTTAACTTATATCAACATACTTCTGAAGAGTGAGGCTCAAGTTGTGGCTGGCTGACTTGATCTTGTTCTGGGCCTCTAAGTGGGTCATGCTGTCAGTGTTGACTCCATCAATGGCTACCACAAGGTCCCCTTGGTTCATCTGTGACTGTGCTGCCTTGCTGCCAGGAGTGATCTGTGTGGGAAAAGGAGAAAAAAAAGGTCATACCAGGACAAATCATTCTTAGATACACTAGCTGTATCTGTTATTGTAGGGATGGAACAATACGATTTATGTAAATCAAACGAACCCAAAGTTAACTCGCATTTCTGCAAAGGTCCAGGACAACATCTACTTGTCGTTACTTCTGTTTTGAGAAGTTAAGCCCAATGTAGCTGTTCCTTTACCACCTAATATCTCCTCCTGAAGGGGATAATTATCACTCCTTATATTGGAGTAGTATATAAAGACATTACTCAGAAGTGGAAAACTAATGAACTACCTACTGCATGATCTTATTGTATTTTTCCTCCTAAAAGCCATTTTCCCCAAAGTAATTCATTATATTGACTGGACAGAAAACGATTATGTGTGAGGGGCCTTGACATGCTTTGTTTCTTTTATAAGAAGTCATTCTGCTTAACCTTACCCACATACCATTACCAAGACAGATTACTACATACCCAAGATGACTGCATCAAGCTGTTGAAACTGCCACTCCAAAGACAGACCAACACTTTTAGAAATACGAAGCCACAATAGTTCAACTACAAACCCAACTACTAAGAAAACAGTTCTGAAATTCTGGTTGTTCACTATGGCATCACATTTTATTAGTTCCAGATGCCTTGTGAACTCCATTTTCTCTGAATGGACAGTATACTGACCTCAATTTTACACAGCCCTCTCAACTTGCATCTGGATGACACTAATGCAACACAGCTACTTATGAAACTTGACTCCATTAGGCAACTCCAACTAAAACAGAAGAGCCTCCACATACCATCAGCCAGGCAAATTTCAGTGAGCACATCAGAGCTGTCCTCTGCTTTCAGCACTCAGTACTTAAAGGGTATTGACGTAAGCTACAGGCCTTTGCTCTTATCCTTAGGTACTCGATTCCTTACATTTCTCACTTCTAAAAAAACCCAAGCATAATCTCAAATACTACAACAAAGGCTGCAGTAAAAAACTCTGTTCTTTCAGCACAGCAAACATAGAAGAAAGATGTGTCTGATTATGAGCAAAATTCCCCTGTGAATTCAGCCAGGCTGAAACTGCGAAGTTAAATTCCTAAGGAAATCAAAACCCAACACAAATCCAAACACTCTTCCTCATCAAGTGTGAAGTAAAATTCCCTAACCTGCCTTCCCTAATATGGCCTCAAAACACTTAAAAATATGTACATACTCCCAACAAAATCCAAAACAATTCCTTAGACTGCTTGTTTGTGCTCTTCCATTGGCAAAGACAAAGAAGAAAAAAAGGAAAAAGCCCTTAGCATCTCGTTACAGGTGCTCAGTATGGAGGCTGCCGGTCTAATAGCGTAGTCTGACAATGGGAGTTGTCAGTTTGCTAGAACACAAGCTCTAGTATCAGGGTGCTAGAACAGAGCACTCTGAATACTTGGACACTCTACTTAAAAATACAGATTACTTTGGAGTTACGCACTGCAAATAACATCCCAGAACTGATCTGACTGGGAGAGACAGCTTTCTCTACCTTTTCATCAGAGATAAAAGCAATAAGAGTTCTATGTTTTCTGAGTGAAGGACAGTCACAGATGGAATGTTCTCATGCAAATTAGAGCTGACTGATAATGGCAGTGCCACTCCCTGGTGTATTCTTCTGTTGTTAAGGAATTGAGGGGTCAGGGAAATACTTTGTGGTAGTTGTATTTTGCAGTCTAATGCACCCTCATAGAAAGAGGTTAGCAGAAACAAAAGATTGATATTACAAGCACAGTTTTCCTAACCTATTATGCAAAGATTAGCTTCATGCATTACATTGACTTGCATTGTGCAAGTACACAGAAGTCTACAAAGAATATGGATTATTTGTAAACCCACACGTACTAGTATAGTTACTGAAAGACCCTTCCCCACTCAGTCCCTCAAATATGCCAAGAAACAGAATCTGCAATAAAGTAAGAGGTCAGGAAAAGGCAAAATGTGAACAAAAGCCAAACTCAGAGAAATAAGTCAGTAAGACTTGAATTCTTCAATTCACAGGACACTTCTCAGTCTTTCTCATTTTATCCTTTTTCTCTATCAACATAAACTGTTTGCCAGTCAGATAGACACCAAGTCTTGAGCCTTCTTGATAACGACTTTTAAATAAATAATCTTCACACATCACTTTTCTAAGACACCATTTTTCACCTCATGAAACATGCAAGTTCTTGCCACAAAACGTTAACTGTGCAATGCGGATACCTCCAGTCTCCAGACAGCTGGCTCCAAACACTGGGAACTCCTCCTTTTGCTCACCAAGAACAAAGACTAGTTTTTTGAACATCAACTCAGTTACTGCAAGTCAAATGTCTGCTCTAATTTGGGAATTCTTACTTAACACATACATCTCTCCTTCCACTGTCCAGTGACGCTTCAAACAAAATAAGCCCAGAGAAGCACAGAGCTTCCACAAAAAGGGTAAAGAAGTCTAGATCTGTGACTAGTTTAAGACAGCTGTAACATACTGACTTCCCTCTCAGCTTCTGATTTCTGCTTTTTGCAGCCCCAAATTTAAATGTTGCATCTTAAAATAAAGATAGAGCAGGTATCTTGAATTTGTGACTTACATGAGTTTCTAACTATGGCCACTGCAACACCGTTTCTGAGGCAAAGAGCTACAGGAGAACTATACTGTGAAAAGTAAGGAAATGGTCTCAGTCATGGCTTACCAGCCAGTATTCCTTTATTTGAAAAGAAAAGGGACAGTCATCTCTTCAGCTAAGTACAATGGTAAAGAACTCTGGGCTGGATTCCTCCACAAAGCTCTACCTTTCCAATTCCCATTTCAGGGGCCAGCGCTCCTTTGGCGTCACTTTACCTCTAAAATTCAGCTTATCCTAGCTTCATAGATGGTGAGTAAAAGATGGATCTAGTTTACTGTATCTGTAATTCAGAACCATAGTGAGTATGAGGAAAGAACTTCCTCTTCCCCTAGTCTCCTCACTGGCTAAGAGCATGCTATGTAGATTATTTAATTCTGTAGAGCTTTATATAGAAGGCATTATTAAAGTCTGGATGTATAATCTGTGTAAAATATTCAAACCAAAGTACAAAATTATACCTCTTTTAGTTAGAAGCTAACAGGCTTTTACGTGAGACTTTCAAGTGAACTTACAGTGTTCATTTACGGCAGACATTGAGAACAGTCAGTAATTGTTGGGGACAAAATACCAGTGTACAGATGGAGACATGGGGCAGCCACATCTGAAGCGTGAAGGCACATTCAAGACTGTCTTGTTCCCATTTTTAAAGATCCAGCAGAAAGGAATGGAATGTAAAGTGTTTATCTGTTGGTATTTTCCTTTGAAAATTCATCTCTGATCTACTAAAAATTTACTAAATATAATAATAGAGAAGATTTCACTGTGTCTTTGTGAAATATTTAGGGATTATTTTCTATTTAAAAAGGCTTTTAAAAATATTTTTTAAATGAAGAGTGAATATTAATTAATCCTTGGAATCAGACTGCAAATCCAGATCTGCCTACACAGTAAATTCTAGTTTGCTTTCATCTCAGACTCTCTTCTCTTAAGAAAAGTAACAAAGTAGAGAAATATAATACTGTCTAGGACAAATATGCATTTTCCAATTTGACCACCACCATTTTTTTTTTAAAACATCTCTGGCCAAGATCTAGACAAAACTATTTCAGAAAACCTTTGTAATAGTCTTAACTCACTTGCTCTGGATTACAACATAGCTTTCAGATGCTAGGTGTTGCAAATGCCTTTATTTAAGGGTACAGTGAGATGTTCACCAGAGATTCAAGGGATAGCTCTTTCTGTCAATTGATTTACAGAATCTAAGTCAGGGTACCACTGACAGATCTAATTTTAATAGTATTTCTTTAGTGCCTCAAGCCCAAGCACAGACTTCGTCTTGAAAAGCTAAGCATCTTTCATCTCTCTCAGAAAAGCAAGGGAACCCGTGCTGCTTCGGAGATGTGAATTTTCAGCCCTCACAAATTTCCCACAAGGCAGACATCTGACTTCCAATATCCTCAGCTTAAAGCAAGTGGGCAGGCTGGAAGTATCACATGTTGCTTTCAATGCACTGTAGAGAATTCTTACTACGCTCTGTTGTGAGCAGATCTGTATATTGGGTGAATACATAGTACGACAGTGACAGCTGTGCCTTAAAAAATAAGTCTGCACTGGGGTCAGAGTAAATGCTACTTAGCAGGAGCTCCGGGAGGCAGTGTACAAAGTGCAGCTGCTGCACCACCTTGAGAACAGTGCGTGTTCCCATCCAAGCTCCCTCAGCACTACTCCAAAGGGGCAGTGACAGGGATCACGCAGCATTGGAGTGACTGTTAAAATACTAATGAGGATGCTTGTATAAACAGATGGATGGACACAGCTTTCCTACCCCAAGGAACTCCTAATTTACAAAGCAGACAAAAATACACAAGGAGGCCTACACCACTGAGAAGGTGTTAATACGGTAGCTGGCAGCATTAGCCAGGGCCTCTTCTTTTTCCAGGATTTGAGCTATGCCTGACCCCTTCCTGACCTCAACTCCAAAATAAGCAAGTTATATTTTCCGCTTCTCATTTAAGAACAACATTTCAGAGAATCAAGTATTCACTAGCACTAGAAATATGCTAAAGCACTGGGAATTAATACCTTCTCCTCTTCAGAAGATATTAAACTAAAATGTTCCTTTCCATAGCCAGAGAAGCTAGAAATCAGAGACAGGGCATAAACTATCAGTTACCAGAGACTATAATATACTGTTACAAGAAAAGGAATGGACAGAGACTAAGGATCACTAGAAAATAGATTTCCTCTACAGAGAAAAAGCATTTCAGTCTCCCTCTGTTAAATTTTTGCAAGTGGGTTTTTGAATAGATGCTTCCAACAAACCTTCATAAAAAAACTTCTGCAAAACTTCTTTGGTTTATGCATGGGAGAACAACCTACTGAAAGGAGCAACATGCTAGGAAGTTTCACCACAGAACAG